TTTTCTTTTTCTTACTCGGTTTATTTTTTAGCAAGTTAGATTTATGAGTTGGTTTAGATTGGATAATTTTTTTTCTCTCTTTTAGTGGCATAGTTATCTTTTTCTCGTTTTTTGTTCCCCTCTCCGTAAAAGAGTTTTTCTTTTTTTTCTTTTGGTATTTCGAGTTAATTTTTTCTTGAAAGGAATTTTCATATTGTTAGTTTACTAGTTTATTTTATCTAACTTTTTAATGGTGATATTTTTAAGGCTAATATTTAGTATATTAATTATTTTTTTATTAAAAATCACTTTTATTATATAAATTTACTATATAAATACTAATTCATATAGAATTTAAACTATATATTAGAATAAATATAAATAGAAATTTGTGCAGCCCGAGGAAACCAATATAACAGGAACTAGTAATTCCTAAATCGATTACTGCGATTACTAGTATTCTAAACAGATGGATAGTAGTAATCGTTCAGACTAATCTGAATAACTTAGTAAAAAGTAAAAAAATTTGGAAAAAATGACATACTGAAAAACATATAGAATAACAAGTATAAGTCCGAGTTCAAGTTATATTAGATTTAATTTAGATGGCAATGTAAACTATGAAAATGGGAATAGTTCAAATCATATTTATTGTGTGAATTCTTCTCCCTTTAATGGTTGATATGGTGGTGATTACATAGAAATTGATAATCATGAGACTTGTTATAGAAATGGTGGTTATGATTTTACTAGCACTACACAGGTAAGGCTTACTAATTACCACCACGGATGTGGTCATTCACATGCCGAATATGAAGATTTGAAAACAAGATATAGCACGTTAGAAAGAGAACGTAATGATTTGCGTAATGATCGAGATGAGTGAAGAAATAAACATGATCAAATCAAAGAGCAATTAACTAACCAATTAAATGCTGAGAGAAGCAGTAGTATTAATACTAGAGCAAGTGAAAGACTAGAAGAACAGAGAGTTCAATCAACGTTAAGAAATGAAAAAACACTGGTAGAGAGAGATTTGACTAGTGCTAGGAATGAAATTGGGTCGCTTAAAAATCTGATTGAAGCGGGTAAGAATGAATTAAGTTTAGTTAAGGTAGAAAAAGACAATCAGATAGCATTAGTGAAAGTTGAGTTAACTGAAAAAGAGAGTGAACTAAAAGAATTAGAAAAATCAATGGCAGATCTGCGAGTAGATCATGAGAAAGAGAATGCCGAAAAGGAACTTCAAATTAGTGAAAAAGCTAACGAAATAAAAGAAAAGAAAGAAAAGATACAAAAGAAAGTAGTCGAAGTAAAAGCATTACGGGAAAAATTAGGATTATCACAAGAGGAACTTTTAGAAGAAAAAATTCGTTTAAAACAAGAGAAATTAGAAACTTTTGCTGGTGACACGAAAATTAGTTTAGAGCAAATTCAAAATTTATGCGATTATTATGAAACTATAATTAGTTCTCGTCTAAGTTATAATCGTGATGGTATCAAAGAAGCAGAAAAAAGTATTTCAAAAATTAAGCAAGAAATTTCTCAGTCAGGAATTCAGATGGGAAAAATTCAGAAGTTTTGCCATAAATGTGAAAAAATGGCAAAATTAAGATCACAATTAGATCAAATTCTAAGTCAACAGTTTGAAGCCAAACAGGAGGTTCCAACTAATCATTAAAATATCATGGCAAAAAAATATTATGAAAACCTAGGGATAAGCGAAAAAGCAACCCAAGAAGAAATTAAAAAAGCTTATCGGAAATTAGCCTTAAAATGGCATCCGGATAAGTGAGGATCTAAAAATCTCCAAGAGCAAGAAAAAGCTAATGAGGAAATGAGAAAGGTTAATCAAGCATTTGAGATTTTAGGCGATGAAGACCTAAGAAAAAAATACGATTTAGGCATAACTGATTTTCCCTCTGATACTCCTAGTTATCAATATGATTATAAAGAAGAAGTTCGAAGACAAGAAGCAGAATTGCGAAGAAAAGAAGGTGAAATTATAGATCTTGAATTAGAAATACTTAAATTAGAAATGAAAGCTCTCGATCGTTCCTCCACTCTTAATGAGATTGGAGCAGCTTTCAATTTTACTTTTCCACAAGTTCATGCTGAACATTTAGATTCAACCCTTTGACAACCTTATGAAAACTGGATGAAAAAAGTAGTAGAAATGCCTATTACTATTCCCAAAGGTAAGCAGAGAAGTGAAGAATTAGAAAACTTCAAAAATGAGATGGTTAAAGTCATTAAAGAAACTGAGACTGCTCTTAAAATCAGAGAAGAAAATAAGAGAAAACAAGAAAGAGAACATGATATTAATTCGGGATTAAATCGAGCAAGAAAAGACGCCTTTGAATATATCGAAAAGGATATGACTGAAAAAGGTGTAAAAATCCAAGACTTGGGAGAATATGCTAATTATCAAACACAAATTAATAATTTAGATAAAGTCTATAAAATTCGTGATTTACGAGAAGAAATTTTAAATTTTATTTCTAAATTAGGTAGGAGAAACCCCCCTCGACCGGATGATAGAAGAGATTATCCACCTCGGGAACCAAGAGAAAATCCAGATCGTCGATTTCCAGATAAACCCGACAAGCCTGAAATTCCAGATAAACATGATAAGCCACGAGACAAAAAAGGTAATCAGGAAAAGATAGAGACTGAAAAAATCGACCATTTTTTAAGTGGATTTCGGGACAATAAATATGATAACTGAACTCATCAAGAATTACTGGAAGAAATCAAACGAGAACAATTGAATAATGCTTCTTTACAAAAACTGGTTTCTATGTCAGAAACTAGAATAAATGAGTTAGAAGAAGAAGTGCGAGAGTTAAAGGCTCAGATTCCTCAAACTCAAAAAACTAGACAAGGTATATTTAAAAGAGAAAAGCAAATAAATCAGTGAAAACAATCACAGGCGAATTTAAATAGTATTATTGACAACAACAACAACAACAAACCTTTTCCAATTATTCCGGTTGTTGGAGTAGTCGGTGCGGTTTCTCTTTTAGGATTAGTTATTTTCAGACTCAAAAAAACCAAGTCTAGATAAAAAGGTTACAAAGCAAAGTTAAGCAGATTAAGATTAATTAAAAAGAGGGGAACTCTTCCGGTTCCCCCTAATAATTGAAACTAAGTTTTGAGTTAATTTCTCTCTGCTTTCTTTCTCATTTCTTGAAGTTCTTTTTTGTTCGAGAACATATTTAATAAATTTCATATCACTTAAAGGAGTTACTTTTTCGTAATAAAAGTATTGAAAATAATAGTTAATTTGCGTGAGTAAGTTTTATTAACTCAGTAAAATAAATGCCGAGTTAACAAAGTTTTCTTACTTTTTACCTTGTATATTATATAATGTTTATTTCTTCGCAGTTTAAAGAAGTTATTATTCCTTTTTTTATCTCAATTTTCAAGGTAAATAATAGTTCGTTATGAACCACTAGTTTTTCTTTATTTTGCTGATAGATGTTGCTATCTATGTTTAATTTAAAAGAATTTCTAATGTCTTGTAGAAGAAGGGTATAGTTTTTTTCATCCTTGCTGTCTATTTGAAAGATAACTGCGTAAATATTAATTATTTTTTCTTGATTATTGTATTCCTCGATTTTTCGGAAAATTTCTAAAAGGGAGATTATTTGGCAATCCTTTTTTTGACTTAATTCTTTTCAACGGGAAAAATAACTAATATACAAACCTAAAGTTTCTTGTTCCCGTTGGTTGTTTAATCAATTATTATTCACAGTTTTTTCTCCTGATAAATTTAGAAAGGGCAAATTTTTATTATCAGCTTGGAGAACTTTTTTGATTTGCAAGTAGCGCAAAATTGCTCCTTGATTTTGTAGTAAAATGTCAATATCTATTTCTAAACTAGTGAATATTCCAGCCTTTATTCATTCGGTGAAGGTAGAAGTTTCCATTTTTTCTCAAAGCGAAGTAGTTCTAGCCAAGAAATTTTCTCAATTTTTGTAAATCCCTCCTTTTTTTCGCTCTTCGATTATTCCTTGAAATAGTTCCCCTTTATATTCCTTTAAACTACTGAATCCCATTACCAGTTCATTACCTTTTTTGATTCAGTTTAGTTCGGAATAATTAATATCTGGAGCCTTAATTTGAAAATTGTAAAAAAATGCTTCTTGTAAGTAAGATAGAGATTTTTCTTTTCCTTTATTAAGAAGATAAACGATTAGTTCAGAAAAAAAGTTAGCTTTTAAATAAGCCAAATAGTAAGTCAGATAACCATAAGCAACCGCATGAGATTTATTAAAGGTGTAACCAACGGTAGCAGTAATTTGATGGTAGATTAATTTACTCTCATAAGAGGACATTTTCCCCCCCGCTTTGCTGAGAAAATCTTTTTCTAGACCTTTTTCTTTTAGTTCTCTTCTTTTGATTTCCGCGTCAGCAAAGGAACAGTCATAAACTAGGGAAAAAATTTGGCTCATCTGTTCTTCAAATATAATAGAGTCATAAGTTTCGGATAGTATTGCTTTGATGGCTGAAGAGGTAAAGATAGAATTGGACTTGGCTAGCTTTTTTTGAGATATTTCTTCGACTTTTTTTTTCGTTCCAGGACGGTTTAAAGCGAGAAAAAGGATTAATTCAGCAAAGTTTTGAGGACGGAATTTATTAAACAAGATTCTCGAGGAAGAAGTATCTAGTTGAAAAATACCAGTTATGAGGAAGTTATTTAATAATTCTCAAGTTTTTGCATCATCCAATTTTACTTGGTGATATTCTGGAAACTTAATTAAGAGAAGCCCCCTTGCTTCGCGGATAAGACTCAAGGTTTCTTTTAAACTTAAGAAGTCGTATTTTTTAAATCCTAATTGGCTAAAACTTTCTTCTTCAAAGAGGGCTAACAAGAAATTTTTCTCTAATTTTAGCGGAATGTTGCCCACTAATGATTGTTCAGAAATAATAACTCCTGCGGGATGAATACTAGTATCGTAATACAAATTTTCGATGCTTTCGGATAAATTAAAAAAGTCTGGATAACGAAGTTTTCAATTACTTGCACTAGGGGTTTTTATGGCTAAGGAAGCAATTTCTTTAAGTTTTATTTCTCCAACCCGAAAAATTTTGGCAACTTCTTTGCAAGCATTTTTTCAGCCAATTTTTTTTTTGGTAATAATCCGCGCTACTTGTTTTTTGGGGTATTTTTGTTGCAGGTAGTTAAATATTTCTTCTTGATCTTCAACATCTAAGTCAATATCAGGCAAAGTCTTCCTTTTCTCGTTTAAGAACCGTTCAAAGAATAGGTTATGCTGTAAAGGATCAATGCTGGTTATTCCCAGTAAGTAAGTAATCAAGGAAGAAGCCGCACTTCCGCGTCCGGGACCGACAATAATATTTTTCTTTTTTAAATGGTTGACGGCATCGCTAAATATTAAGAGGTAATCAACATAGTTAAACTTTTCGATAATTTTCAATTCCTTTTCTAGAGTCTTTTGATATTTTTCTTCTTTGTCTTTCCGTAAAGCTAACAGTTTTTGTCAACATTTACTTTTCAGAAGGAGCAAATTATTTTCTTTTTTAGTTTTATTTATTTTTTCTCCCCGAACGGAAAGATTAAGATTGATTTTAGTCAGAAAACTTTGTCACTGAATCAGTAATAATTGGTAGAAAGTTTGGTCATCAGTGCAGTGAGGAAAAAAATCTTTAGTGTTTAAATAAGCCAGAAATTCCCCTTGGGTATCAGGAGTTAGGAAGTAGCGATTAAAATTAGTTTTTTTTCAGAGGGCAAGCAATTTTATTTCTTCGCTGGTTAAAGTTTTTACCGAAAAAAAAGGCAATAGGAGAGGAATGATATTAGGAGAGAGGGAAGAAGCGGGGGAAAACAAGAAAAAGTTAAAACCAATTAACAGGTTATCATAATTAATTTCTTTATTTAATTGTTCAACTAGAATTCATCGGGAAGCGAAATAAGATATTTCTTCTAACTTTTGAGCTTCGAAGATAATGAAACAATTTTTACTTAATGAAGAAAGGAGGAAATCAAGTGAAAAAGTTCGATCAACTGGTGAGTCGGGGGCAAAAAGTTTCTGCATTACTTCTTTATAACCTTTATTATTTTTCGGATAAATAGTAGCTGAGTATTTTTTCTCTTCTGACTTTTCGCGAAAAAAAACTTTAATTCCCCAAATTGGTTTAATTTCTTTTTCTTTACATTGTTTAAAAAACTTAACAATTTCGTAAGGATAATAGTCAGCAATGGCTAAGTATTTTAATTTGTTTTCACTAGCTAAATTAACTAGTTGGGGCAACTTAAGAAAAGAAAAACTGAGATTAGAGTTAGTTTGAACATTAAGGTGAGGAAGAAAAAGTTGTTCCATAAACATTTTTTTAGTTTTTTTAGAATAAAAAGTAAATTATCAAATTAAATTATTGAAATTAATAAACCTTTTTTAAGGAAAGAGAAAAGTTCTCCCAAAAGTTCTTAATAAAGTGATAATAATCATTATTTCCTTGACTAATTTTATCTAGTTCACTTTCTAAAGCAGCGGTGTAATTTTCATTGATTAATGAGCCAAATTTTTCCTGCAACCATTTATTAACTGAAATTCCTAATTCAGTAGGGATAAAATGTCCTTTTTTATCTTGCTCGGCATAGTTTCTTTTCAATAAAATACGCCCGAAAGTATTGTAAGTAGAAGGACGGCCAATGCCTAATTTTTCTAGTTCTTGGACAATGCTTCCTTCATTATAGCGCACCGGTTTGTTCTCAGTATACTCTTGAACTTCAATTTTCTTAGCTTCTAATTGGGAAAAGTTGACTAATTCACTTTTTAATTTCACATTATAAGTCGACAAATAAATTTCCAACGAGCAAATAAGAAAGCCCGCAAATTGGCAAATTCTTTCACTAGTGGCAAAAAGATAATTATTATTCGAAAAAGTATAAGTAATTTTGTTGACTTTGGCCGGGCTCATTAAACTAGCTAAGGTATGGTTAAATATTAATCTATATAATTGATATTCCTCTTCAGTTAAGGAAATTTTAATCTCTTCAGGGTGATATTCCAAGTAAGTAGGATGAATAGATTCATGAGCATCTTGGACATTACTTTTTTTCTCTTTTTTCTCCCAAATTGGTCGAAAGCAACAATAATCTTTTCCTCATTTCTCTTGGATATAACTGTAAGCTTTATTAACGAAACCGCTGTTGATCCGAGTAGAGTCGGTTCGGGGATAAGTAATAAGACCAACCTGTTTTCTTTTGGTGCCTAGTCAAATCCCTTCGTATAGTTTCTGAGCAGTTTGGGTAGTTTGAGCTACTGAAAATCCTAATTGTGACTTGGCTTCAAAAAGCAATAAAGAAGTAATCAGAGGTTGTTTAGGAAAAATGAATTTTTGTTCTTCTTTTTTATTTACTAATTGGAAAATTGTACCAAGTTTATTTTTAACTTCCTCAGCCTCATTTTTATTTTTATAAATAATCAGTTCTCCGGAGTCATTTATTTGCTTAAGTATCGCTTTTTTTTCTTTTACTTGGCAGGTTCCGCATATAATATAAACTTTTTTCTTTTCATAACTTTTTATTAAAAATTCTCGTTCAACAATCAACTTTAGAACTACCGACTGAACTCTTCCGGCTGACACTGCCTGTAATTTTTTTCGGAGAATCGTACTAAGGCAAAATCCAATCATTCTGTCTAGTACTTGTCGAGAAACTTGCGCTTCTACTAAATTACTATTGACTTCCAATGGTTTGCTTAATGCTTCATTAATATTGCGAGGAGTTATTTCGTAAAAAAGTAAGCGGTGATATTGTTCTGGGCTTAATTCCAACAATAAAACTACTTCTTGAGCAATGGCTTCACCTTCGCGATCTGGGTCGGTAGCTAGATAAATTGAAGAAATTTTTTCTCTTTTTAGATATTGTTTTCAAGAACTAATAAGGTTTTCTTTTCCCGGAATCACTTCGTAAGTAGGCTCAAAACTTTCTAAGTTTACTCCTAAATTATACACTCCTGATTTCTTCAATTCTTGCAAGTGACCGCTGGTAGCAAAGATTACATAATTATCACCTAAAAATGATTGAATGGTTTTCCTTTTGACTGAAGATTCTAGAAAGATTAAACTCTTATT